GATTCTTGAAGCTTCCTGAAAGCCTCCAAAATGCGGCAAAATAGAATGGCTTTTGGGTCTCTCAGGTTTGAATTCCTTGGGATGGCTCCTCCAAAAAAAGACAAGGTGCTCAGCTTTGCTGGTTTGGATATGTCTGATATGTGAGTCTTGTCCTGGCATAGTCAAGCTCTGAGTGGCGTTGCGCTTTTCAGGGTGATACCGATGTGATTGCAGAGATGCAAAAGCACCGAGAAAACAGGACTGTTGCAGCTGGCCTCTGCTAAATTTCAGTTGTGCAAACTGTGATCCATACCACCATGTTTTTTCTTGTTCTGATAGTGCTCTATGGATCTTGCAGGAAAAAAATGCAGGAAGATGCAGATGATGTCTTCGAAAAGGCTTGTATCGACATCCTGCTGAGATGATTTCTACAGGAGCAATGAATGGTTGGTTCGCGCAGGCACTAAAGCAGCAGCTCGAATGGCTTCAGAAAAAGAAGGGAGCAGACATCAAGGTGCTTCTGCGTGCAAAACAAAAACATCAAAATCGAATAAATCGCATAAAATTGATCCAATTCGAAGCAATGCCAAGGCGGAACTACTGGAAGAACGCCGGCAGTGGATTCTGGACTATTGCCAGGACCAATGGATTGGATCGCCAGGGCATCTTGCCGATGCCTTGCCGACTTGCAAATCGCCAGGACCCTGAGAATGGCAAAGAGTTCCCAGAGAAGTGCCTCTCCCAGAGATATTTTGGTGAAACCGATGGCTTCCTGCACAAAGGCTGGATGTTGCAGCTGAAAGTAGCTGAGGTTTGATTCCTTCTACCAGCGCTTTGACCCGAAGAATGTTCGTTCCTAAGGGAGCTCCCCTGAGCCATAAACTATTTCATGCGAATTTGTGGGCGAATATAACAATATGGGGCAGAGATATCATGAACAAAGTTCGAAGCCTCCTGGAACCGCTTTGAGGATGAGGAGGAGGGTGACAAGGGAAAAGATGGAAAAAAGGCCAAGGCTTGTCTTTGCTCTTATTTCTGGCGGGCTTTGTATGAACTCTCTGTAGACAATGGCACTCATTCGGGCCATGTCAGGATGCGAAAGGCAAGAATGACAAAGACAAAGCCAAGGGCGCGAAGGGCGGCAAGAAAGGCGGAATTGACTGCGCTAAAGTCCCCATAGTCCCAAAGTACTTAGATTCTATTCAAACCAAGGGATTTTGGGGGGTGTTGAATATAAGGGGAATGGCCGAGATATTCTTTGCACACCGGTTCTTTTGCGTTGCCTCAAACTGACTCGTGAACTCATTCCGTGACTTGGAACTTCCTACTTTTTCGGAGCTGGAACTGGGTCATTTGCAGGAAAAGATGGTGATGGCGAAGAAGAACCTTTAGAGGTGGTGTCCGTGTCTCTAAGGTTTCTGGCTCCAAGTCCCCTGTGAAGCAGTTGCTCTCTGGGTTTGTCTGTGGGTGTGGAAAACCAGAAAGGGGTTTGATGGGCACTTCAATGCGCGGCCCGCAGTTGTAAATGGCTTACAGGCATGCAGGAGTCAAACCAAGTCAGGAAATATCCATAGCCTCATCAGTGAGTTTGCAGTGAGTCCATCCTCAAAAGCTGTAATTCTCACAGGATCAAATGGGATACAACATGATGCAACCTTTGCTTGGCCCCCAAGGCGGAAATTAAACTTCACTGCAAGCCCTCAGCAATGGAAAACTCGCACACACACACACAGCGACAACAAACGCACAGCTACAGTCAATAGCGTTTTGGGCACTGAAAGTTTCAGTGCCGATAGTATTTGGGAGCGCATAAAGGCCAGGCTGCCCACCGCATGAACCGCAAGCAGCGGGCTCATGGACATTTTTCTCTCCGGACTGATGGTGGAGCAGATGAAATTGCGTTGACGTAGACTTGTTAAGATGTGACTTTTCTATGCTTTTCGATCTGGGCTTGATTGCCAAGATTGCTGATAGAGTTTGGATTCTTAACTGGTCTCGCTGTCCTAGGAATGTGGGGCTTTCTACAAGATGCAGAAGGCGCAAAGCGAAAAGATTTCTGCATCGCAGCATCGCAGCATCGTCGTATCGTAGCTCTTTCAGCTGGTCCGCCAGTCTCTCTGGATTCCATCAACCGGGGACTGATGCTACCCATGAGCCGCGAGAACTGGGTCCTGAAAGAGGCGACGTTTGGAAAGATTTGGAAAGATAATGAAAGATACATTTCCTTTATTTTCTTTTATTTTCTTTTTGTCTCTTTCCAAAGGTTTGTCATCTCCAGTGTGTCAGGCCCCTTGCATCATCGGCAGCCCTGTGAAAAATGACGACCGGGAAAGAACAGCAGTAGCTGCGCACTTCATTGCTGACACCCAAGTGCCAAGGAAATTGCGGACTTTCCAGATTTGATGTCTGCAAAATGCAGAATGATGCTTGCCATTCTCTCTGGATTTCAAGGCCAACCGTGAAGCATGTCAAGGGTCTTCTCGGCCGCAGTCGAGGCAAAGTTTAAGGCGCGATTCTGCCCTCCAAACTCATTTGCTTCATCGAACAAGTCTGGTTTTCTAATTGCAAAGCTGGAAGAAATTCAAAGGGGTCAAAACTGCCACCCTGGCGAACTCCAAAAAATAGCTGCTAAATCAACGTTCATCCCCCCCTCGAATATGGTAATTATCATAAGACATGAGTATCATCAGTCTTTGACCCCACATCCCGCTTTTTCAGTGGAGCAAGTCGACCTGAAACGGAATTCGAAGGCCCAGATCAAGGCCATCGTCTACACAAGGCTGTCGAAAGCCAAAGCGTACCGCCAGTCTTTCGGCTTGGGCCTCAGAGACTTCGACGGAAAAAAAGAAAATATTATATATTTTTGTAAACATAGAATGTGTGTGTATAGTCTATAGATTCATATATAGATTCTATAGCATTATAGATGCTAGATTATCATGTATAGTGTATACAGTATACATGTGTATACAGTATACATGATAATATACACATACTCATATCATTGGGTTTGGTTTTGTGGTTCCTGAAAGCGTGGCATTTGGTGGAAGCACTGATTTTTAGTTAGTGCGGGAAACCCAAGAACAAACCTACCATTTGGGGATGGTTTATAGCACCAATTTATGGTGATTTTTTGGGTGGTTTATTATTGGGTCTACCTCATTACTCAGTTCAATTTGCGTTCCCTGATTGGTATAAAAACTCGGCATCAAATTGGGCAAATGCCAACACTTGCAAGAGATTCAGTGACTGAATTAGCAGCGGGTTGGAAGATTTATATATGAATATATCCAAATAATAAGCAAAAATGGACAATATTAATCCTGAACACTGCATTTGTACCCACCCCTTTGGGGCAATGCAATGCCTATGTCACGTGTCTCGTAGCACAATCTGCTGAGGAACTGAAAGAGTCGGCTTCGAATCGAGCAGCCACCTGGTTGCGGAACTATGCCGCATACGAGCAGAGCGAACTGCTACAGGTGCAGCAGGGCAGCCGCGGTGCTTTCCGTGGAAAAAAGAATCAGTGCAGACATGTCAACAGGACATTCATACTCCATTTGGCAAATGGGAACAGCCCAAGTGATGGCAGTTTTAACATGTTTTAAGATGTTTCAACAGGGAGATGCCACACCATGCCACACCAAATTAGGGGATACCCTGGGACCCTGGGACAAAGGCACATGATATGAACATCGAAGTCCTGCCTCGAAGCAGGTTGCGCTGACTCTCGATGGCCAACGGAATTCGTTGCAAAGGCAGCGTTGGATTCCTAGAGTTTTTGGCCATTCGATTTATAGCACCCAGCATTGGCCCAGCATGATAGAAAAATTAGAAAAGTCATTTGTCACTTTCGAAGGATTTTTCGAACTCTTATGAAGGCGGGAATTGCGACTCGTCATTTGAGTGGCGCCGTGGAGCAGGATGTCCAGTGCCCCAGAGACCCTGCGGCCATCATCTGCCACAAATCGTGGACACGATCGTCGTGGAAAAGTAACAGGTGCAACGAAGTCTTCAGAAAATGTGGAAAAATGAGTATTGTATGGTCAAAATTCTCTGGCTACAGAGACTTTGCTCATTATGGTTTTCATATATCATTGGAGGTACTCGTAGTTCAATTTTTGACCGGAAGAGATTTCAAAATGGGACAACTCGCCAGGAGCAGGAACAAACGGTCTGCAGCGCAGGGAATACGGTCGTCTTTTGCGAAAGCAATGTCCAGGCGCATCCTGGTTTTGCTAGAGTCGTATGGTTGAAGAGAAATCCACAGGAAATCACTCTAGCTGGGGGTAAAAACCATGCTTTCCGGTTGAGATCTTCGTTTAAAAGAAATCCATTGCTACACCACTTCAAGCTTTTTTCCGGCATTTCAGGACTCCGATGTGATACAGGCGAAGAGCGCCTGGTGAGAAAAGAGGCGTGGATCAGTCAAATCCAAGAATGGGGTATAGAATGGGGTATAGAATGGGGCACGCCAAAAATGGGCAATTTCATAGGGAAGATGATGATAAACCCAGAAGCCATAGTTTTTTGAGGAACCACCATTTTTGTACAAACCCAAATTGGACAACAAGTCGATGACCGTTGCTGTCTAAGCTGAGACAAGACCAGGAACGCAGCGGTTGGCCAGCACCGTGGGCGGATGCTGTCCCACCTTCGCCTGGTGATGTTGGCGCTAGGTGGGGACTTTTTGGCTGAAATTTAACACTAAAATTGACCTTTGCAAGTCCACTTCAGAGTCCAGTTTTTTTTGCAGTTTCATGCCATTTTCTGGAACCGCAGCTATTTAGGCTGAGCAGTCTCGGAAGCTCCAGAGTGGGAGTTCACATAATCAAATGCTTGACAAAACTATTTGCACTTTACACTCGATACTCTTGGACTGATGTTCATGAACAAAACAGAACCATTGAATCTGTTTGGTACCTTGGTACTTTTGGGCAATCAAGACTTCGACAGTTTCAAGCCTTTGCGCGGCGGTTGGGAGCTTATCTGCTTTTCAGAAGAGGACAGGGGACATTTCTTAAAGGATGGCATCAACATGCAACAAACATCAACAAACATCAACGAGTCCCATTGGAGACGAGGATGACTGACTTCAGAACCGCTTTCCGAAATGCCACGGCAGACCTTCCCGCACTAGGTCAGCGGCTGAACCAGCTGGAGTTGTGACATTTCGAGAGATTTGAGTTTCAAGAATCCCAGTTGGTTGATGATTACAGTTCTTCATAGCTCTTCATATTAGGATTCTATATTGTTCTTACCTAAATTGAGGACGCTCACAATCCACTATGGGAATCCCCATTGAGCGTGACAGGGACTTGCCAGCGGCTTTTTGACACTGATCATTTGTTGATTCTGTTGACTTGTGGAGGTGTTAGCCAAGCTTTCCCTAAATACATCCATCGCCGAGGCAGCAACATTCACTATTCTGCCAGTGCAGATCGGCAAGGTGCTCAGATCGGAACCTGAAAAGGACTGTGGTTTCACAGGTTGAAACCCGGCCAGATGAGTTTGGCCCTTTGCCACACATCCTCCCGAGGTTGAGAAAGCTTCTTCAAGAGGGTCCATTGAAGCTGACGGAGCACTCTCTTTCAGCTTTTAGAAGCTTTCAGTCTTTTGGTGTAAAATCTTCTAAACATGTTCGAAGCGGCAAACTTCTGAGAGGATTGGGTTGCAAACTACCTGAAAAAAAGAACTGAACATTTCTGTGAGGACCTGCGGGAAGCACCTGAAAAGTTCTTCGCAGCGCACAGTGTCCTTTCGGAGTATGCCACACAGGCCGGGCCACAGCAGTCTGACATGTAAGCAGATTTGGGCATTCAATTGGCCACATGTTTCAATGAGAAGTGAGCTCAATGCACTGGAGGTGGGGCCTGGCTTCGGCATTCGCTTCACAGTTCATGTCTCAGCAGCCTTTTGAATACCATGCTGGTACATGCATTCACAACAGCTGAGAAACTCATCACGACCCAGGTTCAGTTCAATTTATTTGCCGGCACACTCATTGCACTTGGCAACAGCCAGCAGGCCTTACTGAGTTGATCATGGAATCATGAAGACCAGAAACACTGCAGAATCCTGTTTCCGCTTCGGCTTGTGCCAGGTGGCAGCCCTCAGAGCCATGCAGGTGTGCTGTTCCAGCTGTCTTCTGGTCATGATCTGCTTTACTTGTGACATCTTGTGACAAAGCGTTATCCGTCACAAGGCCAGCGGCAAGCTCGGGTGCTTTTGTCTCACTGAGAAGCTTGCAGGCACCTGAAGCGCAAGACCGGAAGCTAAAGAGCACACCCAAATGGTAATATTTCAATGGGGGGAAACCAGGAATCAATCATAGATTTTTGGGTACACTTTTTTGCAAACTCACCTATCAGACCTATCATTGGACCTATCGACCTATCATTCATTTTCGGGAACAGCTCTGTGCCAAGCCATGAGGTGTCAATAGTGGGCTTGTTGTCAACACCACCTGCACTTGGGATGAGAGCAAGCCACACCCTGAGCCTTTTGCGGCCACCAGCAGTCACCAGCCACTGACGAAGCCAGTTGCAGCAACCTGGCATCGGTTGGCCCAGGCAGATGTTCCTCTTGGACTGTCCTGATGCGGGTGCCTTCAAGAACTGGATCTCCCAAGGTCTCTCTGCCGTTCTGGCCTCAGTGCCATGATGTGGCATATGTGTCATGGTCAACAGTTGGATTTTTTTTGAACCCATACTGGGGGCTGATCATCAATCCATTGTCATAGGGATTTTCGTGAAAGAAATTCAAAGAATTTCTGATGGACAAAAGTGTGGTGTCGGCTGTGGGCCATTTTAGCTCAAGAAACCACAGCTGACCCGGAATGATGTTGTCTCTTCTGTTTTGCGCGGTCAGCTATGTTTCCTTCTCAGTCGGCGGCGCTCCAGATGTCCACCATCGAGCAGGTGAGGGAGTTCTACAAGCTGCCGATGGATTTGTGGACTGCATTCACCCAGGTTGCGGGATCCTGCGGACGACATGAAGCTCCTAGCGGCCCTTCAACGGTGATTGCGGCATCTTTGGAACGAGCCGTTGTGGCCACTGGAATTCCGCTGACAGCAGTTCAAGCTTCCCATGTGGGGTTAGTTTGCAACCTGGCGCGGAGGATCATCTACACGAAGGGTGGTGGAGATTGGGACAAGTGGCAGGACCAGTCCCCTTTCTTGGATCAACGACAAGCTCATGGCAACGAAGGTCCGAATGTCCAGCTGGTGAAGGCGGATACACCTGGGGAGCGCAAGCTGAAGATGACCCAGGTGATAGATCAGTCAGACGATAGAGAATTTGTGGTACAGTCAGAAGAGGTTCGGGCAAAGTGGTACGGCCACCGAAGAAGAGGACCCAACGTCAGAACAAGTCAGTGCCCTGGACAAGCGCATCCACACGCAGGGCGTTTCTCCATTTAAGCTTTGAGGGCGAGCCGATTTCGATTTCGATCTTACGTGCTCACATCCAACGGGTATGTCACGAAGGAGTTGCTGGGGCCTGCCACGCTTCATTCAGAATCCTGCGCGCGGCATTGGTCATGTTGGATGCTGTGTCATTGGCATCACTTCATGCCTACGAGATGCACAATCGAAGGCCTTACAAGGACCTATCGGTCGGCTTGGCATCTGATCTATTCTGCGGACGAGCTGGCGAGGTCATCTCATTCAAACAGGTTGAGATCCAGAATGGTGATGGGCTCCAAGCTGAAAGAGACGTGCCTATGGCGTGGGATCCAAAGCGGCCATGGGATTTCATGTTCAACCTGGTGGCGATGGGCGATGGACGCAGTTTTTGGCAGCAACAAGTCATCTCTCCAGCTTTAGCATGGATTGCAGCCGGGAGTCAAGGAAAACCGAGAACTCCGCCAGAGCAGTTGGCAGCTGGCTTCATGATCGGTGGAGTTCAATCCATAACTCCACAAGTGGAAGGTTAGGGTCAAAACAACAACATCGATCCGACATTCACCGGGACAAGAAGAACGAAGCGAAGGAATGGCGGGAAAAGACAAAGAGGTGGAGGTGGCATGGAGACGAGCCGCACAACAAAAAGGGCGGCGCAAACGAAAACAAGAAAGGAAGTGGAAAAGGGCCATCGAAACAACTTTGTTATGGATGGAACAGCGGAAATGGCCCGTGTTCTGGTTCTCGGGAGCATCGTTGCACGATGTGTCAATCCCCGGGGCATCCATCAAAGGATTGCCCGAAAAAGAAAGAGTGAAGCAGCATGCAGAAAGCTCAGAAGGTTCAAAACAGGAGGAGAATGCGAAGGACACAAAGGCAGAGGTTGACAAAGCCGAGTCATATTCATACACTTATGAAACGGAGGAAGACACGGAGGAAGAAGAGAAGGATGAAGATGAAGAGGAACCAGAAGATCAAGATCCTCTGCTATCAAATACTTTGGAATAGTTCTACGGCAAGAGGGTTTTCATTTTCATTCATCATTTTGCGGGCAGCAGGGATCCTTTGTCGAAGGCCTTGAAACTGGAAGCCATTCGTCAAGGTATCAGGATCAAGGTCATCAGTGTGGAGAAGCTGAGCGGCACAGGACACCTTGCGGCCACGGAACCTTACACGACTCATTTGAGGTGGGCTCGAAGGGGATACGTGGATGGATATCATGCAAGTTTTCCGTGCAGTACTGGTTCCCGTTTGAGGCACCGTGCAGCCGCAACATGCCAGGTTCAGTGAGGACAAGGTCGGAGCTCTGTGGACGAAGGGACAACACGGACCGGGAACAAGCACAATGTGACGAGGGCACGGTGTTGGTGTGCAGGGCAATCGACATGGCTACAGCGGTGGCGGTACCACCTGTGGCGACTTTGGAAAACCGACCGCCTAGTGACTGCCAGAACATTTTCGGCTTGGTCAATGGAGACAAACAGTTCGGTGAAGCACCATTGGGTCAATCCACCAGGTGGAGAAAGAAGTGTCCAAGCTTGTACTCCAAGCACAAGCACAAGTTCCAAAGGACCCGGAAGTGAAGCTTGCAGTCGTGCAACAAATTCAGAAAGAATTGACAAAGCTCAAGGCGAGCCCGAAGGATGCTTCGGAAAATTTGCAACAAGCAATTCGGGACTTGAAGTCCAAATGTGAATCCAATGCTACGTTCCTGCCGAACCTGGTGAAGTCTGCAAGGCGTCAACCAAGTAACGTGCAAGAACGGCAGGATTTTGGTGTACGCTCCGTCAGCACAATGCAGGGCTTTGCATGGCTGGCACTATAATAATTCAAACTACGAGTTCGTCTGCGGAGAAGACACGAAGGTATCATGCTCAAAGTGTCAAGTTGCCGCTCATTTGCAAGGAGATAGAAGATGCGGCAGTACAGACTAAGCCCTTCAAATTCTGGTGGAAGCTGAAGCCACATGAAATCATTGGACTTCGGCTTTGGAAACAGATGAATGGAAAGGCAGCACCACCATCAAAAAACTGAGGGGTGGGATGGCTGGTTGTAGTTTGAAGTTGGCACCTAAACGTGTCGTGAAAGAAATTCAAAGAATTTCTGATGGACAAAAGTGTGGTGTCAGCTGTGAGCCATTTTGGCTCAAAAACCACAGCTGATCCGCAATGATGTTCCACGCCCACCCATCCTGAAATCAGGGACAGAAGATGCGGCAGTACAAACTAAGCCCTTCAAATTCTGGTGGAAGCCGAAGCCAAATGAAATCATTGGACTTCGGCTTTGGAAACAGATGAATGGAAAGGCAGCACCACCATCAAAAAATTGAGGTGTGGGACGGCTGGTTGTAGTTTGAAGTTGACACCTAAACAGCCTGAACGTGTCATACATACATACATAATACACACATATATATATATATGGATCATTGTGGAATGGATGACCAAAAATATACCATGTCACTGGACATCAGGATCTGGCAGTGGTCATCGCAAACCTTATCGTCAAAGGTGTGGGTTCTGAGTGGACTGCGGACATTCGGTCCAAGATTCTGGTTGACTAATAGGTGAGTGCAGGTTGTGTGCATGGTCAGGCGGTGTGATTGCCATAGAATTGAG